GATGCAGTAGATGCTGTAGTTGTACTTCTAGCAGTACTTGAAGTAGATGCAGTAGATGCTGTAGTTGTACTTCTAGCAGTACTTGAAGTAGATGCAGTAGATGCTGTAGTTGTACTTCTAGCAGTACTTGAAGTAGATGCAGTAGATGCTGTAGTTGTGCTTCCAGCAGTATTAGCATTAGTTGATGAACTGCTATGTAAAGTACTAAAAATAGTTGTAATCAATTCTTCTGTTGGTTCTGTGACAATGGTTTCAGATGATAATGAGCTCCTTGCTTCTGAGCTTAGAGATGAAAAACTGCTTGATGAAATGTTGTTGATGGTTGATGTACTTCCTGGTAATGATAAGTTTCCTAATTCGGAAAAAGTAAATGAAGGAAGGGTAAAACTAAAGGATGGTAGTGTTTCATTTAACCTGTCTTTTTCAGGTATAATTAGTTCCATTGCTGCTGTGGTGCTTTTGTCTCCAGTTGTTAATGTAGAAGTAATGTGAGAACTTGTAGAGATAGCTAAGGTTCTTGACGTAGATGTATTTTGTTTTGTACTGCTGTTGGCATTTTGATTTCCAGACATACTTGATCCTGTTGAAGACTCATTGTCTAATGTATTAGATGTATGAATAACAGAACTACTGGTAAACGTAGAACTACTTAGTATAGTACTTGCTGTAAATGTTGTTGATATTGTAGTAGTAGAGTAGCTGTTGACTGATATTGGACTGAATGTTGAATTAGTGAAGGAACTACTGGACTCTGATGAATTTCTTGCTTCTGTTGAACTACTGCTAGCAGTACTGCCTGTCAAGCTACTTGATGAATTATTGCCTAAATTAATTCCTTCAGTTATAGCTGAAGTAGAATTCAATATGAATGATGTTGTTTTTTCAGTTTTAATACTGTTTTCAGGCGTTGCATCAGACAAATTATTTGTAGTCTTCGTACTTCTTAATTCATTTAGAGAGCTTGGAGTGCTTGTGTTTATATCATCTAAATTTAAAGTTGTTGTTTCATTATTTGCCACACTTGCAGTAGGTATTCCATCACTTATTTTACTGGTATCAGTATATGTAGTTTCTGAAATTGGGGAATTTACGACATCATTCTCAGAGCTTGGTAGGCTAGATCCGTTATTCAATAAGTTTGAAAGGGTTGAAGCTATTAAATCATTGTTTGTTGGGGTAGTAAGAGATATATTCTCATTAGTTGTGGTAGCATCACCAGTTGCTTCACTTTTAGTATATGTGAGGTTTAATGTGGTTGTCCTTTCCTCTACTATACTAGCAGTAATTTTGATATTTTTGGTTGAACTGGTCATGGTTGTGTTATTAATTTTCAGGCTTGGGGTAAATATCTCATTTCCTGCTGAAGTTGTTTCCTTCGTAGATATATCTCCTTCATTTACTGGACTTGCAGAAGTTGAAGATTCCATACCGCTGGGAATAAAACTTGAAGTAGAACTTTCTAAATTTTGGAATGGCATTCTTAAAACTAAAAACTAATGGAACTTTGTTTAAAACTTTTGAATTTGAATAGAAAGAAACAAAAATTAAAAATCAGATGCATGGTTAATTGATACAGCTTGGATACTCTCAAAAGATAATAATTAATAAAAGAATGACAATTCTCCCTATAGATGTGCTAGAGTGTGTGCTTGTATTATCAATTTTCACAGAAGACGTTTCTAAAATGGTTGTAACTTTGGCAGAAGTAGTGCTGTTAAGAATTCCCGACTTTGTACTTGAAGACTGTATTGTTGATGTTGATATTGTGCTGCTACTTGAAGACCCTATTGTTGATGTTGATATTGTGCTACCACTTGAAGACCGTATTGTTGATGTTGATATTGAGCTGCTACTTGAAGATCGTATTGTTGATGTTGATATTGTGCTGCTACTTGANTTTAGATCTTGTTTATATTAAGTTAGCCGTGAAATTTATTATTCGCTGCTACTTGAAGATCGTATTGTTGATGTTGAGTATGTGCGGCTACTTGAAGACCCTATTGTTGATGTTGATATTGTGCTGCTACTTGAAGATCGTATTGTTGATGTTGATATTGTGCTGCTTCTTGAAGACCATATTGTTGGTGTTGATATTGTGCTGCTACTTGAAAACCGTATTGTTGATGTTGATATTGTGCTGCTACTTGAAGACGGTTTGGTTGATGTTGATATTGTGCTGCTACTTGAAGACGGTTTGGTTGATGTTGATATTGTGCTCCTAGAAAATAAATGAGTTGTTGCTCCTGTTGTATGCTTCGGAGTGGTAGCATAATCATAATAATAATAATCATCTTCAATTACAATATTTGTGTCTGGATCTTTTTTCGTTGTCGATACGGTTGTCTCTGCTAAAAAAGGAACAATTGAAGAAACCCTGTATGAGCTGGATGGATTTCCTTTTATTTGTTTAGACAATTCCTGTTTATTGAATATTTTATTTTCTGGTGCTGCAGTTGCATAATCTTCATAGTAATAATATTCATAGTAATATTCATAATAATAGTCGTAGTAATCATCATTATAATCATAGTATAGGATTGTTTCATTCATAATGGGATACTGCTTGGCTGTACATTTCCAACCTAGCACTGAAATTATAGAAATTAATACTTTAAAAAAATTTTAAATCACACAAAAGAGTAAAAAAGTAAAGGAACTTCTCCCTAGAAATACATGGGGGTCTAGAGACACATGTTTCTTTTTTATAGCTTTTCAGAAAAGACAATAGAATATCTATTAGAGTGGAATTTAGACAATCCCTCGGTATGAATTTTTTCAGTCCCTTTCAGCCTGAAAGAGAGTTTAAAGTGTACAAATCATGTAAATGTTCACAAATTATATGATTAATATAGTATGTTCCCTAGACTATCCATTTCAATTTCGATTTTTTTAAAGGTGTTAAATAAACTTTATAAAATGAATTAGGTGAATAAAAAATATCATTTGATTTATTGTTAAAATGGAAAATCATCGTTTGTAAAGTGAAAGGCATAGAATCTATGTGAAATGATCATTGCTCAAACATTAAACCACTTATTTCATAATTTGGTTTTCTTTTAATGTTAATTTTAGATTTTCTATATAATGATGTTCCAGGGCCCAAAAAGTTATATAGCGCAAAAATGTGAAGTACACCTGCAAGATGGAAACAGTACAACAAAATGGCCGTTTTACACTTTTTTCTAGTAAATTCCAATCCAATATATATTCTATTCTCTTTGCTTTTCAGACTTGAGAGTATAAAAGAACCCAAAAAGGTTCATTGTAATTTTTTTCAAATTAATGCACCTTTGGTTTATAATTTCTTTTAAGGTTTAATATTGAGTTATATAATAGAAATATAAATATTTTTAGATTTATCTTATTCTTAGTTGAAAACCAATATAATTTCTTGATTAAGGATTCAACAATCAAAATACCTGCATTGTTATGCATCACTCGATTTTATTGCTTGAAAATTTTTTAATGTTTGAGTAAAAGCAGTGTTTAGGTAATAATAACATGCATAATCAAATAAACATTTCACTTTCTTTTAGATATTTTATGATGTCAAAATATCAGCAAAAAGTTAAAGCCTATTTTTTTTAATTAGAAAATGTTGATGGTCAGTATTTAATATTGAATAAAAAAGTTGTTTAATATTAATGTAAATAATAAATTATGTAATCGCGAAACAGTGGTGATGGGTGAGTTTCAGGCTATAACTGCAGTACACAATAACTTAAATACTTTTTTCCTGTACTCTCTGTACGTAGGAATTCACTCTGATTCACTTGAAGATATTATTTACCTGCTAAGAACATCCATATGCGCAACAACTTCATCCTTGCTGGGATGAAAGCTGACTGCTGGAAAAACAGTTATAGTAGCACATTAATTCAGAATAATGGGCTCTACTAATGGTCTGATTTGGTAAACAATAACTCCTCACTACCCAGGCCTGGACCTGACTATAGTTCTCACATTAAAACAGTATATAAGGATGTGACTGATCTATCATAAAATTGTCTATGGAGATGGAAAAAAAAGAATTTCGCTGAACTTTGCTTGATATAAAACCAAGGTTGTATAATAAGGTTAGATACTCTTGATGAGCTCCAATGTATGTAAATGTCGTCTTCATAGCAATGACTCTAAATCCTCATATGGCGTCACTGATACTTAACTTGAAATCATCACATTTAACAAATATTGATTGTGAGAACAAAGAATGCAATTCTAATGCAAGTTTTCAATTTTAGATCTTGTTTATATTAAGTTAGCCGTGAAATTTATTATTCTTTAAAATAAGCAGTTTGACATCATATGGTGATTTAGAGTGTCCATTGATATAAAGGTCGTCTTTACATACATTGAAGTGTATCAAGAGTATCCTTGCTTATTATACAACACTCCCTTCTAAGAAAGTTAGGGATTAGGAATGCTCTATTAAAGTTTTAACATTTAGGGATGACAATTCTATTCAAAAACGATCGTTATTCGTTTTCCAAAAGTTCAAAACAATTGAAAAACGAAACAAAAAATGGTCGTTTAACGATCATTTTCAAAAATGATTAATTACCCTAATTCCAGCAATATTAATGTTTATAAATTTTTAAAAGTAAAACATTTAAAAAGTGAAACATTATTTGAAGCAAGTTTTCAAGATCCACCATAAAACAGTTATTTAGTTTTTATATTTTACCTAATTGGAAAGATGGCAGTTTAGGATTGTGTCCCATATCAAGTGCAAAGGTTGATAACAAAAACTATAAGCAATGTTTTATTAATCATTACAAGGACAACAATTGCCATTATAAGGACACTTTGAATTCATTTCAGACCAATAATGTGTCTGTCTTTAGCTCAAAATAATGAATTGTATAATGCAAAGGCTAAAACATTTTAATGAGACCATTAACCAGGTATAGCGAATGAAAATCCCTGAAAGGGTATTATAAATCTTCAAGTATATCAGAGGCCAAATATAAAGAATTTGAGCCGTGTCTCAATTTGAGATGCATGTCAAGCATGGTTGGTTCCTCTTGAAATTGTATTCAGTGTTTCGAGATTTGATCTGGAGCTCAATTCGAACCCGTTTTTGACGGTTCAGCAATGCGGTGTAAATTATTTGAATTCGGCCTCAGGATTCCGGACCCAGAGAAAGATCTAATCATCATTTTTTTAGTGTTTAGTCTATTTACCAAGAAGTCAGAACTTTCGGCGTTTTGAGCTCATTGGTGTCAATCATTGTTCTACTGATTTATTATTTAATTCCTCTCTGATCAGATATCTGATGGGATACATATTTTTCTGTCCAGGGTAGGACAATACATTTTAAAATACATTTATTGCAATGCTGTTTATAAGTGGAACCCAGGCAGACGCTTTCTTATTTATTTGTTCAAAATTTCATTTTTTAAATTTTTAAGATTTTTATAAGCTTAAATATAGACGGATAGGCCAGCTACTCTTATTATTCACAAAAACAGCAATATTTGTTTCCACAATTTTTTCCAGCTTATTTTCCAGCTTATTTTGCAAACAAAATTGTAAAATCTCATTTCATTTTGTTACTCTTTTAAAAGTCTGACGCTGACGCATTTGTCAAGTTTTTTTATTTCTTAAAATAAAGGGTTTTATGTGCTACTTAATGCTACACAATTCTTGATGAAAAATTTGTCATAAAAAAAAATTGGCAACTGAACGTATTTTCTTACTTTATGTATATTTATTCTTCAAAAAACAAAACTTTAAAGTTTTTTTAGTCCAATGTTATTGTTGAATGTATGAACTTTAGTTTGTATCATGAAGAAATATGATATTATTTTAAGCTGAGACGTCTAATAGGGAAGGAATGGCAGCTTTTATATTTGATTGTTTAGTACTGGGGGTTTATAAATTTTCATTCAATCTCTTTTGCAACACACCATGTTTTTGATGAACAATTGAGTTTCTACAAAAAAAAATAATCTAGAAATACATAATAAAGATGAATGTTAATAATCTAGAAATACATAATAAAGATGAATGTTTCTAACAATTAAGGCATAAAACATATAGTTCTCTATTACCTTTTAAAACATATAGTTCTCTATTACCTTTTAAAACATATAGTTCTATATTACCTTTTAAAACATATAGTTCTCTATTACCTTTTAAAACATATAGTTCTCTATTACCTTTTAAAACATATAGTTCTCTATTACCTTTTAAAAATCATCTTCAACATTTAAGAAATATTTTCGCGAAAATGCATCGTAGTTCGCGAAAATTGTTTATGAAAGTTTTTTCTTAATTTTTGCGAAAATTTTCATTTTCTATTAGGCTAAATAAACTGTTAACGGAAAATTTTAAAGAATTAACCAAACGCCTTTAAAGAATAACGACAAATTTCGTGAATTATTTGTTAATCTGTTGATAGAAGAACAGCTCCTTCTAATTATTAAAAACTTTGTTTGAAGCTGCAAGCTGTTTAATATTAATAAAAAATATTAATATACACTTTCTAGAAGTCGCAAAAAATAAATATTTTTATTTCCATTTTTGTTACCATGAAATCAGCCTAGTATAGAAAACCAGACTCAAGTTTCTGCATGGAATGTAAGTCCTACTCACACTGCATGTACAAGGCGTGATAAGCCCAAGAAAAGTTGCTTGTCTGGGTTTCTGCATCTAAAACACAAGTTAGTTGCGCAAAAGATGAAGAAATTTGCCAACTCCCTACAGAGTAGAAGGATGGACAATCTAACAAGCAGTCAGTCTAAATCTACTTGGTTAGATCGGAGCTGTGGGAAAAACAAGATGATTGGAGGAGAGCACAGGAAACCCATCACTGAGGACAGGAAACCCAACACTAAGTAAAGGATAACCAGTAGAAGGATGGACAATCTAACAAGCAGTCAGTCTAAATCTGCTAGGTTAGATCGGAGCTGTGGGAAAAACAAGATGATTGGAGGAGAGCACAGGAAGCCCATCACTGAGGACAGGAAACCCATCACTAAGTAAAGGATACCCAGTGGAAGGATTGACAATCTAAGAAGCAGTCAGTCTAAATCTACTTGGTTCGTTGGATCGGAGCTGTGGGGAAAACCAGATGATTGGAGATGAGCACAGGAAACCCATCACTGAGGACAGGAAACCCATCACTGATTACAGGAAACCCATCACTAAGTAAAGGATACCCAGTAGAAGGATGGACAATCTAAGAAGCAGTAAGTCTAAATCTACTTGGTTCGTTGGATCGGAGCTGTGGGGAAAACCAGATGATTGGAGATGAGCACAGGAAACCCACCACTGAGTACAGGAAACCCATCACTGAGAACAGGAAACCCATCACTGATTACAGGAAACCCATCACTAAGTAAAGGATACCCAGTAGAAGGATGGAAAATCTAAGAAGCAGTCAGTCTAAATCTACTTGGTTCGTTGGATTGGAGCTGTGGGGAAAACCAGATGATTGGAGATGAGCACAGGAAACCCTCCACTGATTACAGGAAACCCATCACTGAGAACAGGAAACCCATCACTGAGTACAGGAAACCCACCACTGAGTACAGGAAACCCATCACTGAGGACAGGAAACCCATCACTGAGAACAGGAAACCCATCACTGAGTACAGGAAACCCACCACTGAGTACAGGAAACCCAGGATGGATAATCTAGAGGCACACAGTCTTTAATTAACTACTTGTTTATAAAGCGGTTGTGTAATTTGAATTAGACCAGTCACGACAATTTGTTTTTATATTAGCATTTTAAATTGACTATGTTATGCACACATTAATATCACGTGCATCTGGGTTGCCAATGCGAATGTTTGTTTTGTTTTAACAGTCATATTGTTGAAAGTGTAACATAAAATAGTTCAAATGAACATGAAATAGTTCAAAATAACAAAAATATAGTTCAAGAGAACAAAAAAATAGTTCAAATTAATAATATTGTGGAAAAACATAAAAATAGTTCAAATGTGGGGTTAGGTTAAGTTAAGACATTTTCTGGGCTGAGCACTGCGGCTAGAGGGTCGAGCGCTGCCTGCAGCTCATTTATCAAGTTGACAAAGTGATGCCCGATATGTAGGGTTAGGTTAGGTTAAGACAATTTCTGGGCAGGCTAGTGGGCCGGCCGAGTGCTGTAGCTATGATGTTCAAAGAGTTCAAATGAACATAAAAATAGTTCAAATAAACCAAACAATAATCTAAAATTTGTTTAGTTCCTGTATATATAACTATATATGAACTATTTTTTGTTTATTTGAACTATTTCTGTGCATTTGAACTATTTTTTCGTTCATTTAAACTACTTTTTTGTTCATTTGAACTATTTTTTGTTCATTTGTACTATTTTAATGTTCATTTGTACTATTTTTATGTTCATTTGTACTATTTTTATGTTCATTTGTACTATTTTTAAGGTTCTTTTGAACCTTTATGTTTAAATAATTCAAATGAAGAGTAGTTCAAATATGAACAAAATATAGTTCAAATGAGCATGAAACAAACTTGTTTATACTAATGGTTGTTTGAACTGTGTGCTGTAGTTCAAACGAACAATAGTGTAAATGAACAATAGTTCAAACGGCGGTAATTCAAACAGGATAGCATCCGATCTTGTGATTACAAGTGACCTTTAATTACTAGGTAATAAATTACTGCTAAATTCTGGATTAGCCTTCCAGGGTTTATAACATAGGTATATATTTTCAAGAACTATAAATATATACCCCCCAATGCTCGGGGAAAAAATAAAATATGACATCAAACATCAAGGTATTCAACCCATAAAGGGAGTGACTTGCAATGTAAAGTAGTTGAATGAGAATATAGAATTGTGGAGAAATTTCTATGGAATCATTTGAGACATAAAACTTTTAATGATGTATAATTACTGAGTTTTAGCACAAAGTCGACGTTCAAATTCATCCATTTGGGTGGTTATGTTTTAAAAATCGATTTTTTTGATTATTTACTAACGACGACGAAAAATATATCACAAATTCTACTTTCTACAGTAAACTAATTAGATATTTAGGAACATATTTCTCAATGGCATTTGTCAATAAATCAATGTTAGAATCAATTATTTCTTTGTCTGTAATAAATCTAGGTCCCGAGATTACTCTACTCAAAGTCTCACTGACTCTATCTCTAGCCAAAACTCAAGGCTCTCAATCTCTAGCCAAAACTCAAGGCTCTGTATTCGTCAGTATATCACAACGTTTTATGTAGTACTAATTTATTTATATACAGGTAAATCAAACTGACCGGATTGGCCGGTCAGGGTCACATTGAAATAGATAAGATATATTAATAACATGGATAATAAAGATCGTTCTAATCATTACAACAGAAAATGCTACATGTCAACATTATATTGAATTTCTTATTCTTTATGAATTTGTTCGCAGATTTTTACAAATTCTTTAAATGTCGTCTTTTAATAAAAATTACAGAAAATCTACAGAAAATGTTTGTAAACAATGAAAGATAACAGAAGCAAATAACTGAAAAAGATAAGTTATTTTTTGTTACATTCTTTGTCGTCGTTGTTTAATTATCAAATAAAAAGTTTTGTTTGAATTTCCAGGAAAATCACACGAGGGGAGAGGAGAGGGGGGGGGCATGGAAAAGTCGAATTTAATTACTAAAGCTTTGTGTATTTGATCTGTTTAACCTTGTTATTTGCTAGTTTATTAACCAATCAGTGATCTAATTGATTTTCTGCTGATTTACTGTCTATAAAATCTATAAAATAAGCGACAAACAATCCAAGATAATAAGGAAGGTACACAAGGAAACAAGCATAGGGTTAATCAAGGAAGGTACGCCAGGATACAAGCATAGGTTTTATCAAGGAAGGTACACAAGGAAACAAGCATAGGGTGAATCAAGGAAGGTATGCCAGGAAACAAGCATAGGGTTAATCAAGGAAGGTACACAAGGAAACAAGCATAGGGTTAATCAAGAAAGGTACACCAGGAAACAAGCATAGGGTTAATCAAGGAAGGTACACCAGGAAACAAGCATAGCGTTAATCAAGGATGGTACACAAGGAAACAAGCATAGGGTTAATCAAGGAAGGTACACAAGGAAACAAGCATAGGGTTAATCAAGGAAGGTACACCAGGAAACAAGCATAGGGTTAATTAAGGAAGGTACACAAGGAAACAATCATAGGGTTAATCAAGAAAGGTACACCAGGAAACAAGCATAGGGTTAATTAAGGAAGGTACACAAGGAAACAATCATAGGGTTAATCAAGGAAGGTACACCAAAACAGATTTCCTGGTAGAAAAGTAAACAAACATAATGTTCTCGTATTACTTCTAGAAACAAAGGCATGATATGAGGGTGTCGTGTATTCTCCTTGTGTGGAACTGAATAAAAAACAAAGATTTCTCATTTTAACGGTACAGCTGTTAATCAGACCCTTCATTTAATGTATAGGTGTTATTGTATTTGTTGTTTTTATTGTATTTAAACTATATTTAATGCAGTTTTTGTATAATGACCGGCAACCTGTTTACATTTTAATCGAAGCATTATTTTCAAGCGTTATTTTGTTATCATTCTAAAAAAATATATTTCTATTTTTGTAAAGATTTATTTGGTTGTGCAATATAAGATATAAAACTAATTTTTTTCAAATCTACTAAATGTAGAGACAAAAACCTTGCTATATACATCGTGTTTACATAGAGTTTGACTTCACATTAATCATATGATTGCAATAAGAATTTTTTTTTAAATCTAAATATTAATATTTCCGATAGATCTTAAAACAGTTTTAAATTATACTTGTGATTACATTATTAAGTTTACAGAGGATTCCTAGTATAGAATACAAAAGATCACATCCCCGTTTTAAAGTTGTAGGATCCGTGCTGGTACAGCACGTACTGCATATATCCAGTCCGTTGTACTACTTAGTCATCAGGCTACCCAGTGTACACTGTACAGTCGACCCAGCACGTTTAATGCAACAATTGTAACCTGGCAAGATCATAGTGATCATGAAATAACACAAAAAAAATGTGCGTTAATGCGGAGTTTGTTTGAAAAGATAAAGAAATAAATAAAAGGCAGTACATCCCTTGAATAGTTGTTTAACACAAAAGTTTTAGATTTTAAAGTATTGTCAAATTTTAAAGGATTGTCAAATTTTAAAGTATTGTCAAATTTTAAAGGATTGTCAAATTTTAAAGTATTGTCAAATTTTAAACACCAGGATAAACAATCAAAAAAGAAGATAATATTTGATTATTTCTCCTTTTATATATTTTATGCACATTTTTCGTTTCAGTAAATACATTATAATTAAATCAATATATAAATGGTTCAAATTAAAGTATTCAAGAGTTCTTAAAAAATTATTCATTAACAAATAATATCTATGTACAATATTTCCTCTGTAGAGTGTTTATAGTTTTGATTGAGTTAAAATTAAAACATTTGATTATTTTGGTTTTGATATGAATTAGTTATTGTGAATCATTATGACGTTAAAATCTGTAAAACTCTGCAAACCAAAATAATAGTATTATGAATAGTTAATATCTGCATTTTTAACACAGTTATTTTCAGAACTCCGAAATATCAGCAAAAAATTAATTCATTTTAGGAGGGATTTCTATATTTTCACTAATTATGTTTGTAAGTTTATTGGTAATTTCCTAGAGAGCTATTTTTGGACCATGATGTAGATCTATGATATTTTAAACTTAGAAGATTTGATTTAATGTTTTAAACGGCAAAGATTAAAGGATTAATAAATCTGAGTTTGTGGCAAAAACTCCTTTTGCTGATTAACATAATTACAGATGAGGGGAAGGGTGCATGGCACTTGAGCTCCTCCCTCCATGTTCCCTAGTTTTCTAGACTGGTAAAAAGGTTGCATAGGACTTCTCACGAAGTAACCTGAAAATATTTTTGGAATTCAAGTTTTTGGAAATGTTTAAAAAGTTATGCATATTGTCAGCTAAATCTATGGCAGACCAATATTGCTTAGTTTCTTTTTTTACAATTAGGAGTTTAGGAGTTTCAAAAGGCAATAAAAAAGTTAATTCTGCTTTCACAAAAATTATTCAACAAATTTTACAATGATGAAAAAAATTATAATAAAAAACGAGCAAAAAACGATCTTGCAAAATATAGTTTTCGTTAAAAATAAACTCTTTTGATATTTTTTAAGTTTGAAATAATTTTGTAAAAACTTTTACCAATCATTATCTATACCATGATCCCTAATTTTGTTCATGTTGTCAACTATAACTGTTACCTAATTTTGTCCATTTCGTCCACTATACCTGGTCCCTAATTTTGTCCATTTTGTCCACATACCTGGTCCCTAATTTTGTTCATTTTGTCCACTATACCTGGTCCCTAATTTTGTTCATTTTGTCCACTTTACCTGGTCCCTAATTTTGTTCATTTTATCCACTAAACCTGGTCCCTAATTTTGTTCATTTTGTTTACTATACCTAGTCCCTTATTTTGTCCATTTTATCCACTATAACTGGTCCCTTATTTTGACCATTTTGTCCACTATACCTGGTCCCTTAATTTGTCCATTTTATCCACTATACCTGGTCCCTTATTTTGTCCATTTTGTCCACTATACCTGATCCCTTATTTTGTCCATTTTGTCCACTATACCTGGTCCCTTATTTTGTCCGTTTTGTCCATTATACCTGGTCCCTTAATTTTTCCATTTCGTCCACTATACCAGGTCCCTTATTTTGTCCATTTCGTCCACTATACCTGGTCCCTTAATTTGTCCATTTCGTCCACTATACCTGGTCCCTTATTTTGTCCATTTTGTCCACTATACCTGGTCCCTAATTTTGTCCATTTCGTCCACTATACCTGGTCCCTTATTTTGTCCATTTTGTCCACTATACCTGGTCCCTAATTTTGTCCATTTCGTCCACTATACCTGGCCCCTTATTTTGTCAATTTCGTCCACTATACCTGGTCCCTAATTTTGTCCATTTCGTTCACTATAACTGGTCCCTTATTTTGTCCATTTCGTCCACTATACCTGGTCCCTTATTTTGTCCATTTCGTCCACTATACCTGGTCTCTTATTTTGTCCATTTTGTCCACTATACCTGGTCCCTATTTTTGTCCACTTTGTCCACTATACCTGGTCCCTTATTTTGTCGATTTCGTCCACTATACCTGGTCCCTTATTTTGTCCATTTGTCCACTATACCTGGTCCCTTATTTTGTCCATTTGTCCACTATACCTGGTCCCTATAGTCCTTCATTGTGTTCACTATACCTGGTCCCTAATTTTTTCCATTTTGTCCACTATACCTGGTCCCTAATTGTTTCCATTTTGTCCACTATACCTGGTCCCTAAAGTAATTCATTTTGTTCACTATACCTGGTCCCTAAAGTAATTCATTTTGTCCACTATACCTGGTCTCTAAAGTAATTCATTTTGTAAACTAAACCTGGTCGCTAAAGTTGTCCAATTTGTCTGCTACATGCACTTGAACCATAAAGTTGTCCATTTTGTTCACTATACCTGGTTTTATAAAGTTGTCCATTTTGTTCACTATACCTGGTTTTATAAAGTTGTCCATTTTGTTCACTATACCTGGTCCCTAGGGTTGTCCATTTTGTTCACTATACCTGGTCCCTAGGGTTGTCCATTTTGTTTACTATACCTGGTCCCTAGAGTTGTCCATTTTGTCTGATAACCAGATAAAGTTTCTATCAAAGTCCCGTTTCCTTCTAGGTCTCCACTTACGACGTAAATCGTTAGCCTGCAAATAACGTTGAAAAAAGGGGGTTAATTCCATAAACCATTCCTGTGGTCATCGTTTTCAGTTACAAAGAAACCAACAGACAGACAAGCAAAGATGTGCAGGACATAGAGATAGTTAGGTTAACCAAAGCTAATAACAACTACCCCCCCCCCTGTCCAATCTGTTTAGTCTATGCAAGACTTACTCATGGAAATTTTTTTGGGGTTTTAAAGTTTTAAAAAAATTGGACATTTTGTTTATTTTAAGTAACTAAGCAATCCCATGCATGTAAAACTGTTCCCGAATTAGAAAGACTGCATTTTTATAATTATATAATTATACAATTATATCTATATAATAAAGCTTTTTTATATATGTGTAAGCTATTGGTGGCCAAACGGCTGGACCAATTACCTGATTTTTTAAGGAAATATTCGAACTTTTTTTTCAACATTAAATATGTTTATTTTTTATTTTTTCAAAATTCAACGGCAACGCCGGCACTTGAACTCTAGTACTGATATATATTTCTTTTATAGTTATATAATTTTAATTATATAATTATATAATTATCTAATATATATTTACCCTATGGAGAGTACTCCCATCCTGCTACCCCTGTACTGTTGCATGGCTGGCAGGGATTCCCAACTCCCAACTCCTAAAATTATATATTTTTATAAGCTAAGTTTTTAAATATCTTAAAGGGACGAACTCTGACGACTGAATTTCAAATTATCCTCAATTTAGAATTATGTATTGTCCGATGTACATATATACCAATTGTTTTCTTGATCATGAATAAATGAGATATCCAAGTAGTTTTATCTGAAAATTTCTTATTTTTAATTGTGGTTTCTCAGTACAAGTAACTTGCAGAATGGAGATTTACGCTGCAGAAACAAAAAAGAAAATTTGTCAGAATTGAACACTTTTCAAGATGAAAAAGCTAGGCGATTAATGTTGAAAGGGTACCCTTGTTAATTGAAAATGCTGCTGTATAACATAGAATCAAAATTGAAATGACTTTGACTGGTTGAAGTCCAGTTTTCAGCTGAGTTTGTGATTTTAAAATTTATATAATCTAATTTAACCTAATTCTAACGGAAGAAATTCTACAGCCTTGAGAAAATATTCTTTACTGTTGTATCCTCCTGCCACTAAGAATCCCTAAACAATATCTTTAAAAAGGAATTTCGTGGGAAAAGTTTTTACCTTTTTACACCCGGAGATACCCTAGGAGGAGATACCCTAGGAGGTTATAAAAAAGGTACCACAAAAGGAGCTGCTAGAGATGTACAATATTAGTTTTGCAACTTCCAGTATTAAATGTGTAATAAAACAAAATATGTTTTAGCAAATCTAGACAATATGACGCGTTTCTCTCACAAACGTTTAATATATACTTTGCTTCTCTGTCAGTCTTTTTGTGTCCAATAAACGTCAAAACGGCTGAACCGTTCGAGCCCAAATTTTGTGTGAGACCTCACATGACCCCAGGGAAGGTTTATGGATGCTCAGAATTTCAAAAATTAGCCTCCAACAAAATTCGATTTTCATTAATTTTTCTAAATCCATGCAATTTTTTAAATAATCTGCGAACTTTTTTGTTAAAGCCTAGTTGTATAGAACTTTTTAAATTGTTAATCCTTTACATTTTTTTGTATATTCCCGATTTTTTAAATTCTTTCATAGCATTACAGTAAATTTGATAAAAGAAATATTGTGGGATTAAAAGCCAAACTTTTTACAAAAGGAATAGATGCCAAATTGCATAAAAACTAGTAATTGTATATTTAACCAATTATTTGATGAAATATTTTAGAAAATAGATAAATTACCTTTCTTCCTTGGTAGGTGACTATAGAGCAGCCGTGGTTTCGTCTGTTTAGAAACGTTTTTAATCTTTTACGCTCAAATTTTGAAGTTCAAACTCTTCATTTAAAATTAATCTTATATTTTTGTTTAACAGGTTTTTTATGTTAGACACAGCATGGGTTTACAATGAAAATAAAAATAACTTGACAACTTAGAGTAAAGGTAAAGTGTTGTAATGCATATTCATGGCTCAATTTTTCAAGGCCGGCTTAATGAAAACAAAATTAGACAACCAGCTTTGATAGTGCTGGTGCTGTGGGAGGTTTAAACAATGTGGAAAAAGCTCAAACTATTTATTTTCATTTTTTACTTATTTTGAAATGTGATATCTCACATGTCACGTTTTAACAATGTAGACGTCAGATCCGTAGCTTTAATGTTACGTGATAGTTTATATGTTTTTTAAACACGAACTGGCCTTTTAACCCTGGCATATGAATTCAAAAAAGATTATTTTTTCTGTAAAGGTCAAAATTGTGTTAATTTGAGAGTGCTAGGGGAAAACAATTACAGGGGTGTGACAAAAGCCTGTTTAGGGTTAAACCTGGGTTGTACTTCATTGTATGTTATGTATAGTAAAAGGGATGAACCCTTTTCTCATTGCTGAAAACAAACTGCTCGTTTTGTTATCGACATAGCAAAACGCAAAAAAAAAAAATAATACTTTTTAATAACGATCGTTTCGATTTTTTTAAAATTTAAAGACGTAGTAGTTTTCCCTTTTTTAAATTTATAGTTCGTAGGTCGTTTCTGAGGATCGTTAATGATCGTACCTTTGTTAACTATCGTTGATGAAGATCCTTAGGCGTGTTAAAATAGTATACTTAGTATTCTTAATATATAGATTAATAACGATCAAGGAGAGGAAATCGTTAGTTTTGAAAGATTCAAAACCAAATAAAAAAACTATAATATTTCGATTGTTATTAAAAACGATTTCCAACCCTAGTGGTGACTGTTTAAGATTATGTATTACATAATGTTCTTGTTGTTTAAAAATTAATTTTTATTGTTATATAAGCACACATTACGCCTTGCTTACGTGATATTGTCATCAAAATTGATAAATGTTTTGTTAAAGTTTATTTAAACTTATAAAAACGTTTAAAATCCTTGGGTGAATCATAGTCGGGCCCTGTAAAGAAAATATTTGTAATATATGTTATAGTGGATTTTTATAAATTAGTGTGTGCTTTTTCATGACATTAGGGCTGGTCAAGATTTAAGAATTTGCTTAAAACAATAAATTTCGTTTTGAACTTTATCTTGATTACCCACAAAAGAAAGCAGAGAAATCTAAGATATCTGAAAAATCTTTTTTGTTTTTTATACCTGTGACCAAGTCTTTGTAATTGGATCTAGAATTTGTAGATAATCAACATAGTTTTCTGCATTTTTCAACATTTACCTATTTATTAAGAAACAAATTTTTGTTTAAATAATCAACCAAAAAAAATATATTTAATCGTTGAAAATGCCTAGAAGTCTGTTTGAAGTTGTCAACTTCTCGTCCGACTCTTCCTCCTTAAAGTCATTTATAATGATCAATAGCTTTCTAGACTTTCGTAAATTAATTTTTTTTTCATTTTTAAATTGCGTCATTTTTTGAAGTGATTTAAAGCACGTTTTTAGGGACATAAGCTAGGGGGGGGGTATAAAAAAACACTTCTTTGGTAGAGAGTAATCAGTTCTACCTGTTTGATGGACACCACTTACATTCATAAAATGAATTGAAAGGTTTTATATTATATAAACTAGTTTTGTTCAAGTGAATGTTAATATTTAAGATAGAATGATAATCAAAAAATTAAGGTTTCCTGGACAAAGGAATGCATACATTTCATAATTTAAAGTAACTCTCAATTTGAAAAGGGGCATATTGTTGCTAAAAATATAATCACCAGATCCTTTAAATCGTGTTAATATCTTTGAAATACGTGATTGATGTAAAGAAAAATGAAATTACAAAATTTGGTTTTCACTTTAATACAATTTCAAATTTTCGAAAATTAATATTTTTTTCATTTAGACAATCTTTAAATTGCGTCAATTTTTTTAATGATTTAAAGCACGTTTTAGGGACATATACACTTGTTCATCTTTTTTTAAAACCTCCCTAGCATCCGAACCACGAAGGTTAGCAGTTTAATTTTTGTATTGAGCAGGGTTTGAAAAAATTGGGCAATGAACATATATTGTAACTCCATACCATTGCATTAACAATAATAAGTAATTCACGTCATAGAGCCATTTTTTATTTTGAAAGGAATCAAAAGACAACAAAAAAAAAGTTTACAGTGAGTACCAGAAAACTATGGAATAGGAAAAAAGTTTTTAACTCAATTTATAACTTTTGATAGGTAAATGAACATGAAACACATCAACTGCGGCAGTTTATACAGACACATTTCACTAAGTGATTTTATAAGTGATTAAATACACTTAATTATTGCTATGCCGTCTTTATATTCCGAACTTGTCTGGTTCTCATTGTTTATATACAGTGGTATGCATTCTTATATCAAAACAATGAAGGCGACATTTTTATTTAAGTTTTGATTGTTTGCAAGCTTTGTTCGAATTACAAGTTTACACGTAATCAAAGAGAAGCTTTTTTCATTGACAGTTTCTTTTGACTTCTATAGTTTATGTGTATCCATGATGTTTAAGCACTTGAAATTTAAAGTCGTCTTCATTGTATTGATATAATCGCCTACCACTATGAGAACATTGCAAGAAGAACCCTAAACTCGTAACGCTATGAATTTCAAAATGACGACAAATTTGTTTAAAAAATGAAGGCGACATTTTTATTTAAGTTTTGATTGTTTGCAAGCTTTTTTCGAATTACAAGTTTACAAGTAATCAAAGAGAAGCTTTTTTTCTTAACAGTTTCTTTTGACTTCTATAGTTTATGTGTATCCATGATGTTTAAGCACTTGAAATCGAAAGTCTTCTTCATTGTATTGATATAATCGCATACCACTGTATGAGAACATTGCAAGAAGAACCCTAAACTCGTAACGCCATAAATTTCAAAATGACGACAAATTTGTTTAAAAATTTGAACATTCTGTCAGGAAAAAACAAAACTGTCAGATATCCCTATCATTCTGTTCATATGTCTGAACATTAAATGACAAATTTTTCTAAATTCTTTCGATTAGTTCTCTGTTTAGAATATTGGCAGCTCTAATGGTTGTGTAAAAAGGGCTGTCAACAAAAGAAGAAAATAGAAAATGTAATAGGAAAAAATTATGACAAAAATAATGAAGATATTTGTATATAGTTGATATTTTGTAAAATTTGTTTTTATATAATTTGCAATTTAAACAACGAATAGTTGGCCGCTTGATGTCTCTGCTCTCGATGTTTCTGTGGTTCCACGTGAGAGAGACACCTAGCAGACAAAAAATCGTTGTTTTAAGAGCAGTGTATATAAAAATATTATGAAATATCAACTATATATGAATGTGTCGAAAAAAAATCGATGATTATAGGTTGTAATATCTGAAAGCTTTGTTAGGAATGAATTTGATTTTTTTAACTCAAAGTGGAATATCGCAACTTTCTTATGAATTGTATGGACGCTACGTTCTTCGGTATGAGTCGTGTTTAACCATTTTCTCAATAGACAGTAAGAAGAAGTAAGATAATTAGCGATCACCATTAAAAAAAATTTATATACCCCCTTTTTTTTCGCGAACACTCCCAAAAAATAAAAAAAAGTTTAAAGATTGTTGAATTACAGACCAAAATGCGATTGAATTCGAATATAAGAAACCAAAATCTTGCCCTAAAAATCCTTTAAACTTTACACTTTCTTTAAAATTACCACCATTGAAATGGTTTTCACCACTAAAAAACTAAACTGTTTACTCCCAAAAAATAAAAAATGTTAAAAATACCTCACATCTGGTAGAATATACATCATCAGTAAAATATCCACCAGCTACATAAATCCTAAATTAAATAAAATTAAATAAATAAATACATGCATGATCAATGAATTGATTAATTGAATATTTGATTGATTGATTGATTGATTGAATGATTGATTGATTGATTGATTAAATTATGAGTAAGCATTAACATAACATATTCTCAAAAGCTGTAACAAATTCATATTCTTCAATATGGTTGATCAATGAATTGATTTGATTGATTGATTGATGAGGAAACATGTTATTTTACCTATTCTCAAAAGTTGCAGCACATCCATACCCTCCAATATGGTTTGGAGGATCCAAACCCGGTTCACCAGAAAATATATAAAATAGCTGAACATTTTGAAATTAATCTACAAAGAAAATTTATTTCACAAGCACTTTTTCAAATCATTTTCTGGGCAAAATTTTGTTTTTATTTCGAATTACTCAGGATGACATTATTTAAGATTTGATTGTTACCAAAAAAAAATACTTACTTTCTATGACTGAACACCTGAACCTAAAACAATTATTATTTTTTTTAAATATATTTTTACTTTACAACTTTTAGTTCGAAAATAGTATAAAAAAAGGATTATGATAGGTCTGCTGAAATTATATTATTTTATGGGTTCCAGTGTGAATTATATATTGGGTTCGATATAACTGTGGAAAAGAAATAAGAGATTTAATCAATATTTTGTTTTTTATTTCACATTGACGAAAATCATCTTATTTAGTAAACTGGGTTTGTGTACAGTACACAATTGCTGTGCTTCCTATTCCACAGTTTAATGGATTCCAGGTGTACCTGAGGTTTATATCCACAAACTGGTTTTGTATATCCACCAAACACGTAGAGATCACTGAAAAAGGGAATTTAAAAGAAATTTCTAGCGACCTGAATATTTAAGACCCTGCAATTTATTTTAGTCGTCGGAGCGCCACCATTTACTTCAAACAAGACTTCTTAAATATTAGTAATGCTTGGATACTAAAGTAAATTGTAAATTGAAATCTTTTTTTTCAATCAAAATTCTTCAAACTTGTAAATGAAATCCAAATGAGAGCAGCTCAAAGTCGTATTTAACACTTCACTCTGTATGATATTCAGTAGATGTGTGACTAAATAAATGTTATGATATATATTTTGTGAAAATCCACCAAAACAAATGTAGAAAATGTAGAAAACAAATGTAGAAATGTAGAAAATAATTCCATTAACCTGTTGTGCACCGCTGACGCAGCATGGGATGTATTATACGGCATTGAGGGACCAAACTGCCAACTTCGTTCTAGAACATAATGTGGAATAAATCAGCATTTCATTTTACACCAGGAAAAAAACACCGATTTTTCTGAAATACTTGAAGAAAACCTTCGGATAATGATAATAATATTTATTAACGAACATGTCTTTATCTATACATATATATAAAGTTTAACAATCTCTGTTTGTTTGTTTTATTGGATGTCCGATCTTAACACCTGAACCTATTTGCCTCAAATTTTTGACCACGGGCATTTTCTAAGCCTGGTTTAAAAATTCGAAGCTGAATGGGTTGATTTTGGAGGGGAAAAACTCCAAGCAAAGTCGGGTTTCCAGGCTGATTTCGGTTAGATGAAAAATGTTTAACAAAATTAATTAATTGAACAAATATTAATAATTTGTTTCCAATATGTATTGTGAACTACAGAGTCACCAAACACTCCTGAGAAAAAAATTATTGTATTTTAGTTTAAAATATTATTTTTTTAAAAACATTTTTAAATGTATTTAACGGAATTTAAAGTGGCTTTTCACTTAAAGAGTGCTGTCAACGATTCACAACAACTATCATACATAAAATTACGTTTATAATTATGAATATTTATGAAGAAAAACTAAATCACTTCTTGAATAAACATTGATTTAAAACGAAAACTTGAAACTATTTTCCGAAAAGGGAAGAATTAAAGGATTAGTTTGAAAAACGTGAATGATCCCTTTCGAATCTAAACCCTACCTGAACTTCCTCCGCAAACGTAAACTCTTCCTTCAACTGAGGAAACATATTATCAACATTTAAAAAAAATAATTTAAGTTTTTATAATTTCGAATTTTTATACAGGGTGTCTCAAAAACGGGGAGAATAAGAGTCTACAGACTCGTTTGTAATCGGATTTTCAAGATTGAGACCATATTTAAATCTATTTACAATTTCCGATTCAATGAATCCAATTTTGTAATATTTCAAAGGCTCCTAAAGTTTCCAACTGGAGTGAGTAATTTGGTAAAAATAAAGATAATCTCCGTGTGCACAATTTTGTATCAGGGTTCTACAGACTCGTTTGTAATCGGATTTTCAAGATTGAAACCATTTTTGATATCTACGAACAATTTACAATTCAATGAGTCCTATTTTAAGCTTGTAGATTTAAAAAAAAAATACAATTTTATAGGCTCCTAAAGTTTCCAACTGGAGCGAAGTAAAAGGTAAAAGATAATCTCCGTTTGCACAATTTTATATTCAATATTACAGCACAATTGTTAGTTTTAGATCTACAAGTCTAAAATTAGGCTCATTGAATCGGAAATTTTACGTTTACATAAAAAATGGTCTCAATTTTAAAAATCCGATTACAAACAAGACCCTTAGTGCAAACGGAGATTATCTTTATTTTTACCAAATTTACTCACTCCAGTGAGAAACTTTAGGAGCCTATAAAATTGTTATCTTTAGATCTACAAACCTTAAATTGGGCTCATTGAATCTGAAATTGTACGTAGATATCAAAAATGGTCTCAATCTTGAAAATCCGATTACAAACGAGTCTGTAGACCCTTATTTCCCGGTTTTTTGAGACACTTTGTACATAGTAAAACTGTGGTAATATCTTGTTGGAATTAATTTTAAATGTTCACAAAATTCTGATCACTGAAATCGCAAACATGACTCTATTCAATACAGAAAGTAGTTTTAATGTCAGTTTTAAAATTTTTTTTAATAATTTAGTTCCTGTTGCTGCGATACATGAATCCCTCTGTGCTGGCAAGGGGTTGAGGGGACGAATATCAGCACTGAAAATAAATTTTTAACTAATATTCAAATTTATTCTTAGTTCTTTAAAACAGCTAAACCGAACATTTAACCAAGAAAACGACTTTATCCCCACATTTAGGATCAGAAGAAATTGTCAAGACTACACCGCTTTGAATTGGGCATTGGAGCGTCGCTCAAACTTACTTTTACAGTTTAAGTAGTTAGCATTTTTTACTGAAAAATAAATTGGAATTTATTTTATATTTTTGTCTAGATACCTGCCATCAAGGTTAGGAGATATCTTATATTTTTGTCTCGATACCTGCCGTCCAGGTTAGGAGATATTTTATATTTTTATCATGATACCTGCCATCAAGGTTAGGAGATATCTTATATTTTTGTCTAGATACCTGCCATCAAGGTTAAAAGATATTTTATATTTTTGTCTAGATATCTGCCATCAAGGTTAGGAGATTTTTATATTTTTTGTCATGATACCTGCTATCAAGGTTAGGAGATATTTTATATTTTTGTCTAGATACCTGCCGTCAAGGTTAGGAGATATTTTATATTTTTGTCTAGATACCTGCCGTCAAGGTTAGGAG